TATCCTGGGATAGCTAAATTTTATTGGATAATTAACTTTTAGCCATAGAGTGGCTGGTACTGTTGATAGGCCTGTAGGGGCCTATCCTTACCGAGTCCTGTCTCACCATACAACCTGAGAAAGCAGCTTTTTAAAGACAGTTCCCTTCCTCTTTGCTCATTTGGATTCCTTCCTATGGCGGGCAGATGAGCCCAGGAGTTCACTCTTGCCTTCCACAGCCAAGCAGACTATGATGGTGCCTCTCATGCCATAGGGTAACACAGAGAGCCCTGGACACAGATCTGGGTCAGGGAGATCCATGGAGGGTGCTCACGAGAAATATATTATCTTGAGATCTGTTGAATTTGAAGTGTCTGAAACATCCAGTCTAGGATGAGTTTGAAACTCAGGAGATGAAGGATGAGATTGTTACGGAGTACATATTGGGTAGGGAAAGAGGACTAAGTGCTGTTCTCAGGAAGATAAATATGCAAGAGAAGTAATAAAAGAGGTAGGAGAGGAGGTGACCTGGAGAGGGGAGTGTTGAAGTAAATGGTAGAGGCACTGAGGACCAGATGAGTGAGGACCAAGAAGTCCTTGGATTTGGCTAGTAGACATGAGCAACTTTTGGGAGTAGTGTCATGAATGAGGTGGCATGACGGGGCAGCACACATTTTCGAGTCAGAGAACTGGTTGCTTACTGGCTCTGAGACCTCCATTAGTTCCATGTCTCTGAGCCTGTTGGCTCACCTGTAAATCAGGAATAATTCATAGGTAAGTTTGTGAGAATTAAATGTCTGTAAAGTGTCTAATAGATTCTCAATAAATGTTTACTCCTTTTCCTTTCTGCTGCAATTCAAGAGGTTTTGAAACAAAGGAAAGAGGAGAGGTAGTTAATGAAGAGGAGAGCAGGGTGGACAGGCTGTTCCAGGTTAGGTGAAGCGTCTGCTTGATGGAAGGAGCCAGTGACGAGGGTGACGTGGAGCTTTCAGTTCCCTGAGAATGAATGCTGTGTTGATAAGGACTGGAGCAGGGTGGAGGAAGTACCCTTGCAAAGCAAGAGGAGCGCACCTCTGCCATTAGCAAGAAGGCTAGAGGTGAGAGCTATGTGGTGAGAGAGAAAGGGAATCTGGCCTGTGCTTAACTGACGTGAGAGCCAGATTTTGAACTCTAGTGGCTTCATTTACCACTCACGTCATCTTGGGCCAACTGAGATCACTTTTCTAAGCCTCTGCTTCACTGGGATGTTGTAAGGCTTAAATGAGCAGCACAGAGCCTGGCCCATGGAGATGTTTTTAGTACTGATGGGGAGCTGCACACCTGGTGGCCCCTATTTCTCTCATGGACTAAGTAATCTGGTTGGGTATGGTGCTTGAAAGCATAGGCTTTGGGGATAGAGACACCCAGGGTACAGTTCTTGCCCAGCCATCTATCAGCTGTGAGACCTTGGGCAAGTGCCCTAGTTTCTCTAAACCTTGGTTTCTCCTTCTGTGTAAAATTAGGATACTAGGACCTATTAAATGTAGAACCAGGAGGATTAAATGAGATAATTTGTGTGAAACACTCATCGTGGTACCTGGTACACAGTTAGCACTCCATAGAGGTAAAGGGTAGGGGACTGCAAATGTTGACTGAGAATGCATGGAAGCACTGCTGAGCAGCAGGAGGGCCCAGCTGGGGCTAGAGGTTTAAGCCAAAGGAACAAAGAACTAATTATGAGAAACTCCTGCATCCGTCAGCAGTTGGGAGACATCGAGCCCCTTCAGCTCCATGTGACATCCAAACCATGGGTAGGTATGGAGGCTTGTCAGGTGATGAGGACTTGGACAGCTTGGTTTCTGATGCATATCACAGTCCTGCAGGTATCTTCTGGGGGGAAGGGCCTTCTTGACCATCTTGTAGTGTGACCACTCTGCCTGCCAGCTTTGGCCTCAGGCACATGGTGCCCCTGCTTCATGCATTACTGTGCCCACAGGACCGGGGCTTCTGCGTGGAGGTGAACACGGCCTTTGAGGACTTCGCCCACGTCATAAGCTTTGACAAGAGGGCTGCCGCGCTGGACGCAGGCAACATCAAGCTGACCTTCAATAGTGTGAGGGGCTGGGCAGGGCATGGGTCTCAGTTCTCTAATTTATCCCAGTGTCTTGTTCCGTTCCTTCTCACTCACTGACTGTATTCCCAATTCAGGGGATGGTGGTAGAAGCCCAGACCCCAGCTTTCCACCTCCTCTAAGGTATGCCTGAGTGGGACCCAGCATCCACCCTCCTGGGTGACCCTGTTCCATCTGTCCCTTCTATCTTCAGCTGCTGGAGAAAGCAGAGGCGCGGGAGAGGGAGCGGGAGAAGGAGGAGGCACGCAGGATGCGGCGCAAGGAAGCTGCCTTTCGAAGCATGCTGAGGCAGGCTGTGCCTGCTCTGGAGCTAGGCACTGCCTGGGAAGAGGTCAGGAGCATAGCCTGGCCCCAAACACCCTCAAGCCTGAGGGCAGCGATGCTTCACCACTGAGGGCCCACCCCAGTCACGTCACAGCCCTGGGCCAGCTCCAGTTCCCTTCCTTTCTCTGCCCCAGCCCTGCCCTGTGCTCATGGCGGTGTCCAGGCCAGGCTGAGTAGGGCCTAATCTGATCAGCAGTGCTCTCCTCGTTCAAGGTCCGTGAGCGTTTTGTGTGTGACTCAGCCTTTGAGCAGATCACCCTGGAGTCGGAGAGGATCCGGCTCTTCCGGGAATTCCTACAGGTGCTGGAGGTGAGGCAGGCTGCTTGTTCTCTAGATCTGTCCCAGACCCTTGGAACTCCCTAGACCAGTTCAACAGAGACCTCAGTGGCCTCCCTCTTACCCCTAGGGCACTCCTGGCCAAGCTAAGGAAGGGGAGGCCTGAAGGATCCCTGGGATAGGCAGAAGGCTCTAGCCTAAGGGAGGCAAAGCCAGATTTTAGGAGGTAGAGTCCTTCCTGGGACTAAGTTTGATGTCCTCACCATTCTTCCTCTGCCTCTAGCAGACTGAATGCCAGCACCTCCACACCAAAGGCCGAAAGCATGGCAGGAAAGGCAAGAAGCACCATCACAAGCGTTCCCACTCACCCTCGGTGAGTTACCGGGTAGAAGGGACGTGGGGTGAAGCTGGGTTGTTTCGGGGAAATCAACACTTCTTGTTTTCCCCCTATATTATCTCCCTTGGAGGGAAATTTGAGGATTCCTTTGGTCCTGGACCCTGCTGTCTCCCCAGTTCCTAGCTGGCTTTTGGAGGGCAGAGAACCTCTGCACTGACATGTATCTGCTGATCTGCCCAGGGCTCTGAGTCGGAAGAAGAGGAGCTGCCCCCACCATCTCTCCGGCCCCCCAAGCGGAGAAGGCGGAACCCCTCAGAGTCAGGCTCTGAGCCCTCTTCCTCACTTGATTCAGTTGAAAGTGGGGGTGCTGCCCTTGGAGGACGCAGCTCCCCTTCCTCCCACCTTCTTGGAGCAGGTAAGCAGTTGCCATGAGCCTACAAGCTGGAGAACTGTTGTCCCAGACTGAGGATGTCCTGCCCCTGCAAGCCCCCCCGCCCCCCAACTGGAGCAAGCTCCAGCTCATTTGAGGGTAGAGTGGATTGGGAGAGCTGCACCTGTGGGAGTAGAAAGAACTTCCTCTACCTGCCCAGGCAAGAACCTGAAGAAGGAAAACTGGACCGACTTAGACTTCCTCAGAGCATGAGGTCCCCGCCTGTGAAGAATGAGCAGAGGGGCTAGAACAGAGAAAAAGAGCCTTCCTTTGTCCTGTTGGGACTTAGTAGGGATTTTTTTTATCTCCAGATCATGGCCTTCGGAAAGCCAAGAAACCAAAAAAGAAAACTAAGAAGAGAAGGCACAAGTCGGTGAGTGAAGGAACTTCTACTTAAGCCCCTGCTATTTTGTGAGCTCTGTTCTACTGCCTCCTGGGCTATCCACAGGAACTGAGGGTGGGAGGCTCTGGACTCTTACAGAATAGTCCTGAGAGTGAGACAGACCCCGAGGAGAAAGCTGGCAAGGAGAGCGATGAGAAGGAACAAGAACAGGACAAGGACAGGGAGCTGCGTCAGGCAGAGCTCCCTAACCGTTCCCCAGGCTTTGGAATCAAGAAGGAGAAGGTGAGGGGCACGGACCCCAGGCCAGTAAGCATGCTGGCCGAGCTCCCAAGGCTCTCAGTAGAGGCTAAGGGTGAGTGGTGCCTTTGCTCCAACAGACAGGCTGGGACACGTCGGAAAGTGAGCTGAGTGAGGGTGAGCTGGAGAGGCGGCGGCGGACACTCCTACAGCAGCTGGATGATCACCAGTGACCGGATGAGCTGCTCTCTGCCTCGGGTCTGTGTGAGGCTGTGGCTCCTGGGCCACCCTCACCATCTGCCTCAGACTTCTTCCTTAGTCTGGTCTGTGTCCACTTTTTCTAAAGTAACCCCACCCCCAGCATACCATCGTTGGCACCTCTCAAGGATGCTTTTGGTGTTCAAGGGTCTCCTACTCCCTGGACTAGTGCAGTCCTTGCCCTCAGCCCCAGACCAGAGATGGTGGTATATGCCATGTGGGGTGGGTGATGCCAGTAGATAAAGTGTGAGAGAAGGGGTCTCCAGGGAAGAGTGACAGGCTGGTGGACACAGCCTGGGTAGCAGAGGGCAGGGTCTTCACCCTCTAGCATCTGTGCCTGCTCCTGCCTGCCCTGAGGCTCCACCACTTCTTCCTCCACCCAGGACCTAATGTACGTGTGTTTTGTTTTTGTTTTTTAAATAACAATATTTATAACATGGCCAGTAACTCTTCTCCATGTGCTGCTGGGGCAGGCTGGGGACTGGTCACATGCCCAGCAGAGGGCACTAGTGTCTCATAGCAGGCCTGCTTCCCTTTGTGTGGCTAGAGCCCACCAGGCTGGTTCTCCTTTCCCCAGATTTCTGACCTCATCTCCTCTGAAATAGATGTAGTGCCCCAAAGATTTCTTTTCTCTCCCCATGGCCCAGGTCAGGCTAAATGGCCACCCTAGCCCTGTAAGCTAAGAAAGAGGAGACAGAGTCAGGCCTGGTGCTTCAAGCCTTTGTTGAGGGAGGGAAAGTCTGGGGTTTATGTACAAGAGGAAAGGGAGGTGGAACATGTACAAAATAAGTGGGCCCCCACATTCCCTTCTAGGGGCAGAGGAGAAACAGGAAGCAGAGCAAACAGTCAGCTAAGACCACCATGCTCCCCATCCCCTGCCAAAAAAAAAAAACCCAAAACGTAGCTGAAGAAAAGGTAAAAGGGGTTGGCACACCCCTTCTCCAGCCATCTGCAGAAAGGGATTGGTGCAAAGAAAACCTCTATTCTTCTGCCCACCTTGACAAGGAAAAGTGTGAGCCTAGAATGAAATGGGCAAAAAAAACAGGGCAGTGAGCCTGACATCTCTCCTCTTACTCTTATCACTAGGGCACAGCTGGCAGAGGGCCTTGCTCCTGGTAAGAGATGAACTGAGACTGACAGAGTGAGTCCCAGGGCTCTGTAAGCGTAGATACATCTAGACCAGAGCCGCCCATGGGCCTGCGAAAAAGAAAGGAAAAAAAAGACAGTTTCTCTTTCCTGTCAGCACTCTGGGCTCTAGTGGGAGAGAGATCTACGTGCCCTGTATAGGCTAAAGCTGGAAATGGTTTTTCTCAGTCCTGGGCTGACCCTTGGTGACCCTTCAGGAAATGAAGTCAAAGATCTTGGGAGCAAAGTGCAGTACTGGAGGCACCAGAGACCTACAGACCTAGTGCCCATAGTGGCACAAGGAGAAAGATCCAGCCTTGGGAGCTGGGGCGGACAGGGTTGAGAGCAGCATAGTCCTCTCCTGGGCCCTTGGCCAATTCCAGGTCCACTGGTTGGACTTGTAGGACTCTGAACGCTGAAGTGCTTCTGCCTCTTAAGAGGGTTCTCAGTGGGGGCCTGGAGCCCGAGGGGGGCCACTGGGCAGCGCAGCGCTCCTGGCTTGGTGGCGAACAACAATAGGCTGGCAGTGGAGGCCTGTGGGGGAAGACAGAGACCTGTGAACAGGAAGGGAGGCTGAGCCAGGACAGTGCCCTCAAGGGTAGTCCCACAGATAAACCTCCACATGGGAGGAGCCAGCGGTGAGGCAGATAAAGGGGAGCCTTGAGGGGTAGTTGGGGAGATTGCTGGGCTTTGCATTTCAGAGGATCAGGTCAGGGTGACTAGAGGCCACTGGGCAGTAGAGAGTAGACATTCAGAAAGAGCCAGAAGCTAGGAAAAGATCCCAGGCTGACTGGACCTCAGGAAACAGATCAAGGGACATCTGATAGCTCCTGGTCAGAAGCTACTGCCAGAGCTCTTATGAGAAGTGAACCCTAGGGAAAGGTTCCTTAGGCCCAGGAATGGACCCTCAACCTCAGCCTCAAAGATCAGAACTGTTGGCCTGGTCCTGTCTGCCCTCAACACTGGCCTGGCGACTCCCGGGTCTTAGTAGAAGCCAGGACAGCATTAGTGGGAAAGAAACCACTTCCGTAAGGATACATGCAGGGGATATGCCACGCTTCTCAGAGCATGGGTCATGCAAGAAGTATGTGCTCCCATTGCTGGGAGGCTGCCAGAGGGTGATTGCAAGTCATGCAGGAAAGGAGGTGCCTGTGGTCTCTGGCAGGAATCCTGGGAGATGGGCATGCAGAAGGGGCAGCTGCTGTGCCCAGTACCTGTCAAGGGCCCCAGCCTTGGGGGCTAACAGTTTGACTCATCATGGTGGGCTGCATCACAGAAGAAGCGTGAGCCCCGCTTGGCAGTACGGGCCGTGAAAGGGACACTCTTCAACACTATGGCCCAGGAGAGAGACACAGTGGTCAGGCCTCATGGTGGGGGGTGGGAGGAAAGCCCAAAGGGGCTAGGTTTGGGAGCTGGGTGCAATGGCCAGGCCCCAGGGAGTGGAAAGAGCCCCCCACCTGTGATGATGTCCTCGATGGTACCATCCTTTCCCTCATAAACAGGCCGGTGTTCCTTGGCCTGGCGCCGCCTCAACTCTGCTATTAACTCCTGCTGTTGCCACTTGTTCCTCTGGGATGGAGTCTAGGCCAAGAACGTAGAGGGGGAAGGAAATCATCACTAACCTAATGTGGGACTGGTTCCTGCCCCAAGGTGCAGTCTGAGAATGCCATTGCTTGTGCACTGCTAGGAATCCCCAAAGGCCCTCCCTGCATCCCTTTGGATGCCAGCCCACTGGCCCTCTGAGTGGTTTGTCCACTCCAAGTTCTCATCTCCTCTAGCCTGCTGACCCCCAGCCCCCACTCTTTTAGCTTGCCCTCCTCCAGGCCCCAGCTCTTGGTCCCAACCCACCTTGGCATCCAGTTTCTTGGCTTCCTGAGCCAGCTGTTTCTCCCGCATTACCTCCTCCTGCTTCTTGCGGGCTTCATTCTCTTGCTCTGCTTCCTAAGAACCGTGGAAGATGGGTGAGGCTCACAGGCTGTGAGGGGAGGGGCTGACACTGAAGTAGAGAATGGGTGGCAGTGGGACCTGCTAACTCCAGGTGGCCACCTCTGGAGGGGCACTTCCTGCCCCAAACAATGACAGGAAGGGCCTAGGCCCCCACCCTGCCCACCAGTTCACAGCTAAGAGGCCTGTCACCAGCTTGCATCACTCCCTTCCCAGGACTCGGAGGAGGAGTCGGAAAAGGCCTATACTTTAAGCCCAGGCTTCTCTCCCACAACCAGTTTTCTCTCAACCAAACTTTTTAAAAAGCTCTCTGCAGCTCACCTTGTAAGAACGAATGAATCGGACAAATACTGGGAAGAACACAGAAGGAGGTGTTGTTTTGGGACTCTCGCCAAAGTAGCGCACAACTGCATTGTAGGCCTCCTGGGGAAGGGGTGGGCAGAACGGGTCACCATGGCAGAAAGAAGCAGCCCAGCTCCTACACTCCCACACCACGGGTGAGAGGCCTGCAGAAAGCAGAGCTCAGGGCCAAAGGGAGGAAAACCAACCACCCAGGCCCCTGTGAGCTGGAGAGAACCCGGGGCTCCCAAAGCTCCCAGAAGTACATGTCTCCAGAGGCAGCTGCCAGCCATTCCCAAAGCGCTCTCTCCCCCACATATAACCAGCCAGCTGCTTGATTAAAAAAAAAAAAAAAAAAAAAAAACAGAACTAGGGCCACCTAGAGGGCCCTGGCGCTTTGGCCCTGGTTGCCCCCATCTGCCTGTACCCCGTGCTTGCCTCAGCCGTCTTGGCATCCCGCTGGAGCTTGTCTAGTTTGCCTTCATTGGTACTGAGGAAGTTCCGGAGGACGCTGTGGTCGTGGATGCTGCACTCTCGCCGAATCAGCTCCATGCCTCGGCCCAGCTCCTTCACATCCAGCAGCACGTTCTCCAGGGACACTGTGGTCACCAAAAGCCTGGCTGAGGACTGCCTAGGGCCTGGCATACCCACCTCCCAGCCAGAGCTACATCAAACTCTGGCCCTCCCTCTCAGCATGGGCTCACTCATGTTCACATACCTGTATGGACATAAGGAAGTGCACACCAAGCTAGCTGAGCCCTCATAGGGGGAGGGAATGGAATAGAAACTGATCTCATGACCCCAAAGAACACAGTAGCAAAGGCAGGCAAGCCACAGAGACCGTTGGTCTCCAAAATGAAACTGCCTCAGGCCTGCCCTAGTATTCATGGGTTGAGCAGCTACCTCATGCCTATAGAGGGCCTTATGATTTTTTCTAGGCACTTCACATACATCATACACAAGATCTCTGGGGCCAGCTTGAGGGAGTTGGGAGAAAGAGCCACCAGTCCCCTTCCTGTTCCTGCTCCCACTGCACCTAGCTGGGAAGGGCTGGGCTGGGCCAGGCCTGGCGCCTGGAGGAAGGCTCCCTTTGGAGTGGCCCCTGCTTATGGCTCCAGCGGAAAGCTTTGAAGTGGTCAGAAAGAAGATAAAAGCCAGAAACAAATGAAACAAGTGTTCCCTCTCCTCATAGCTTCCCGGGATTGTCCTGGGCTGGATGTGAGGGCAGGCCCACCCAGCCAGGCTCGCCTCACCTGCTGCAGCCTTCTCAACAAAGTGCAGCTCATGCCAGAAGTTAGCCAGGTCTGGGTATTTCTCCTTCACTGTCAAGGCGATGAAATGAAGCAGTGTCATCTTCCGGTCAGTGGACTTGGTATCCAACAGCTAAGAGAGGGGGTGAGGGCAGTACATAAAAGCTAAGCATTCTAGCTCCACAATTGCTGCCCACTAGGCTTCCTGGCCGACACTGCCCTCACCATCTTACCAGATCCAGGCTCTGGAGCTTGAAGCCATACACAGCTCCTCGCTTGCTGCTGTTCATGTAGTTCCCCAGTGCAAGTATGATCTGTCCAAAGGATGCGTGGGAGGCAGGTCAGGCTCAGGTCCTGAGGACTCCTTCTTTCTTTCTGTATAGCCCCAGGCCCCCACCTAGGACCTGAGAACCCCCAGCATCCCCATTCACAACCTCTTCCCACCTCCAACATCTGCTTCAGCTTCTGTGAAGACTTGACGGAAGCGGACGCCGCAATGATGGCATTGAGTTGCTGTAGGGCAATATAAACACTGAAGTAACCCCAGGCTGAGATGGGGTAAAGATAGGGAGGGGTTAGAAGGACTGGAAGGGCAGGGGAGGTGACTAGCAGATGGAAGGTGGAGGGACGGCTGTCCAGGACCATGAGTTGAATGAGGGCCGTACCGGTGTGAGCATCTGCAAGTTGTCCTGGAAGTTCCCCAGGAAGGCCATGCCAGCCATTCGCTGGGTCAGCCGCTCCACCTTGCTGAAGAGCAGCATGAAGCGATCCTCAGCCGCCAACTCCTCCAGGGGCTGCCGCTCACGCTCATATTGCCGCAGCAGCTTCACCTCAGCCTCCGTGGGCAGGAAGCGCATCAGGCACTCCACGAAGTCCACAGGTAGCGTCTGCAAGTCAAACCTGTGTAGGAGGGAGGGACCACCTCAGCTCTCACATCTCTCCACGTTTTCCCTCATCCCACTTATTGTCCAAGCTCCTAGGACTGGGCAGGGAACTGCATACAGAGCACAGCCAAAGGCAGGACCCATTGCCTCATCTGTCATAGCACCAGCAATGATACTGGGGGAACATTCCATGTTACTCAACTGTTCCCAATAGACTGAGAGCTCCTTGGGTGAAGGTCTGAGCTGAATTGCCAGCACAGATGCAGTAAATTCTGGCCAAGCCAGTGGATGACTACGGAGATGCGAGGAGTTCTGTCAGATGCCTGGAATCTAGGGAAAGCCAGGGTCCTTGGTGGAGAACTGGGTTGCCAACTGACTAGGAACCAGGGCTAGGTCAGTGGGAGCCTCACGTGTGAATGGCCCTGCAGATCTCCTCAGCTGAGCGGCCAGCCTTGCGTAGGGTGATGGCCAGGTTCTTGGCACGATTGGCTTCCAACAGAGTCACCTTGCTGGCAGCTTTTTGCGCTGTCTTGTTCTTGGAGCAGATGAGGTCAAGGGCAGGGCCCTGTGCTTTTGTCTTGAATAATTCTTCAAACTTATCCAGATCCAGGTCCTGGCAGGAATAGATGAGCAGGAAAATACTGTAGCCTCATATTAGTGGAGGACCTCCTGACAGCCCAGCCAGCATTGGCCCAGAGCTCTGTCACTCTGGAATGTTTTATGAATACAAAGTGCTGACACAAATGGAAAAGTATATACACTCAAGAATGAAGGGTTTGTGAAGCTGAACCTGGCCTCACCCTGTCTGACGGCTTTTCTAAGACCAGATCTGCTCAAAAGGCAACCAGGTCCCCAGGGCTCAGTCTTACCACTCTCGACCCCAGGTCCTGTTACCTCCAAGATCTTCTCGTCATCAAGTTCGCTGAAGACAGTGCCACTGATCTGGTTGGGTTTCAGTGCTGTCCAGTTGAAGACAGGCAGCCGGAACTTGGTCTTGATAGGTTTCTTAATTCGAATGGCTAATTTGGAAGGAGGATCAGTGACAGAGGGGCCAAGGACACATACCCCTGGTCCCACTAGCCCTGCCCAGAGCCCTGGGGACACTCACCTGACAGGCCCACTGTCAACACCACAGAGGGTGCAGCACCAGGGAGAGGTGGGGCAGGGGGACACTTGTCTGGGGGAAGAAGGAATGACACAGTGACTCAGGGGTCAAGAGGCTCTTTATAGGCTGCCTCTCTCCTCTGCCAGCCCCACCTTCTCTGAGTTTTTACTCTCAGAGAAGGAGCCTACATTAAATCTGCTCAAGCTGCTCCCAGAAATCCTAACTCTGACAGCGCAGTTCTTGCTGGTCTCTGACCCAGTTTCCACGGCTATAGTCTAAGCCTCTCCTTGGCTGTCTTCAAAGGAATTCGGAGCAGCATCTAAACAGATCCACATCTGCCCTTGGGCATCCCTGTGCTGATAACTCGAGCTTCTCTCGGATTCCAGCCCTCCCTCACCCTGATTTTATAGCCTCCCAGTCCTCAGGTGATGCCATTTTCCCAGCTTCTTCCTGAGGAAGACACCGCTGACTATGGTTTTGGTCCCCACAATGAGGCTGCCCCTGCTGGCTCCCAGGGGTCATGGTTACCTGGTAATGGGGGAGGTGGAGGGGGCAAGGGTGGAGCTGGTGGTGGAGGCAGAGGCAGGACCTCCTCGGGGGGTGGGGCTGGAGCCAGAAGGTCTAGGTCGGAGGGTGGCATGCCCTCACTCGGCTCTGCAGGGCCTACTCTGGCCAGGGCCTCACTGCCCACAGACTCCAGGCCCCGGACACTTGGCTCCAAATGGCATCGACGCTGGAAAGCCTCCTCCTTCTCTTTAATGAGCCTCCGCAGGGTGTGCACCTGGTGGCTTGTGTTCTCGTATGTCTCCTGACAGGCAGACAGTACCATTAAGGGAAAAGTGGGCTGAAGGCATAGTAGTCATTGTCCCTAGGAGTGAGAATTCCTACCTAGGGTTCTCTTAACTAGGGTCTCTGTGAGGGTGCTCAGAGGCTCAGAGTGGCAGAAATCCAGGTAGAGGAATGGGGAAGCTGGAAGGCAGCAAAACAAAAGAGGGAAGCAGAAGCTGCCTCCCTCCGCTGGTACCCTAAAGTGTCCTCTCTGCTCCAGCCAATTCTCACCACATGGGCCCCTTAAAACCCAGGAAAAAAGGCTGTCCCTGTGAAACTCTCCTTAATCAACCAACAGTCTGACACAGCTGCTCTCTCCGTAGCCCTTTGGGCCTCATTTTGCTTCCATTTCAGTTGGCCTCATATAATGGCTTAATTGGAAGCCCCCTACAAACAAGACCCTGTCTTATCCATCTCTGTATCCTCCATAGCTCTCAATATAATGCTTAGCAGAGGATGGGTACAGATACATATTGAGCTCAACAGAGCCAGCATATGTTCTTCTGGAAGAGAAGGTAGGTTAGGGGCATGACTTTATAATGAAAATACAGAAGAGAATGAAATACAAGGAGCACGTGCTCTGCCAACTTAGGAAACCTGGTGGACACCCTAATACACAGAGCACCTGGTCACTCTGCCCCTGATCATTAAGCATGGCTGGGGAGGAACATGGGAGTACAGGGGAGAAAAATCAATGGGATGGGCTGGTAGGAGGCCTGGGTTGGAATTCCAGAATGCTTGTGGTTGCCCCAGCTACTCCCAACCTCTTATGTGTGTGTCTGGCTCACACTGGCTTCAGCTTTCCTCTCCAACTAAAAAAATGGGGTGCAATCATCGGCCCACCCACACCTGAGAACTTCAAGAGTGAATCAAGATCTAAATCCTAGAGAACTTGACATGACTCAGAAATAAAAACAAAGCAAAACCCCAAGGCCCTGGAGCCCAGGATTAGTCAGGGACTTCCTTCCCCAGAGTCCTTTTACCTTGATGCTCTCTAGTTCCTTCTCCCGCTGCAGAAGCTGCTTCTCTAGCTCTGCCACCCGCATCATGTTCTCATTCTCTAGGTCCAGAAGCTTCTCTGTGAGCTGCACAATAGGAAGGACAGGTTCTGTGCTGGCCCTAAAGCCTGGGCACTCAGCACACCCTGAACCCTAGTCAAGAGCTGAGTTGAACCCCTCAACACAAGGCCGCAAAGGCAGCTTAGTCAGGTGGCTCCCTTATATCCCAATAACAGATACAAGACAAAGGCCACATTTTGACTCTCTCAAGACCGATGCCACCTCATGCCTAGCCCTGGAGGTGGTGTGTGTTCCAATTGGTGGATGATCCAGTGGCTCAGGCCAGTGCATGGTCTTGAGAGCCCTGGTGGGTTCTAAAGCCTCCCTAGGACTCAATCTGGAGGCAAATGGGTCAGTTCAGGATTCCTGATAACTTGAGCTTCCAACAACAGTGGCTCTGGCAGGCAAAGGAAGGCCACCTACATGGGACACATGCTCCTCCAACTCCTCCACCTTCTCCAGGGCTACATTCTTGGTCTCAGCATCCTCCAACAAACCCCCGACATCAAACACGTTGTCCAGGTATGCCTGAATCTGCACCTGCAGCTTCTCGCTCTCTGTGTGCCTTGACTTCTAGGGGAAGAGCAGAAAGTAGTAGTAGTTGTAGGAGCAGGCAGATCATCAGGGGAACCTGAGAAAAACTTAGTCCTCATTCCCCTTCACCACTGCTTCCCAAAGAGTTCCTGCTGTAGGCCATGTCAGATTCTTGCCCCATGGAGGTGCCTGACTGGCGAGTTATCTGAAGGAGGTCCTGAGTCCCAGGTCACAGAAGACAGGCAGGGTCCCAGGAGCATCAAGGACTAGGCACTTAGAAAAATCATTTGTGATATGACTAAACTGATCCCAAAGCACCTCACCTTACAAGGACCCCAACTAGCTCACCTGCAGGAACTCCTCTAGCCCCAGCTTGGTAAACTCATACTGCAGGTGGACCCGGAAGTTCATGTCCTCCACCGAGTGCACCACGATGTTGATGAACTGCATGCAGGCCACCTAGAGAAGAAGCAGCCCAGAGAATCAGCAACAGGAAGGCAGAGGAGAGCCAAGAGACCAGGAGGATAGACGGCTGTTAGAACATCATCATCATGTGGATAATTACAGGGAAGAGTTAAGTATTTATGGGAGCAATAAGAGTATTTTAATTTTAAAATGTCATTTAATATTCAGTGGATAAAGACAAGAAAATTACAAGAAAAACAGATGTAAGTGAAGATAAAGCTCCGTGATTTCCCTTGTATATCAGCAGGTATTCCTTGAGACCACCTTACCTAGCTGAAGATCCTGCCCTTGGGGGAAGAGAAGCTAGAGGAAGAGCTTAGGAAAGTAAAGGCAGCTCAAAAAGGACGCAATTCAAGGACAAAAAGGCCACAGAGAAGAGGAAAAGGAGGTAGATCTGACATATACAAATGATGTCCTGAAGTTTCTAAGAGCTCTCTGGGGCGGGCAGGTGGACAAGAAGCATTTGCTGAATAGAAAGAATCATTCTGGGCTCTACGTGGAATATCAAGATATACTGCTGGCCTGACCCCTGTTCTCAAGGAACACACAGCCCTGGTGGATATGGGCCGGGCCCAGGCCCAGTGCCTCACCATGAAGTCGATGTTGCTGTCCTCATTCCGGAAATATTCCATCAGCTTCTCAAAGCGGTGCAGCTCCTTGCATACCTGAATAAGCAAGCTTTCTCAATGAAAGGATCTGCTCCATGCAGAACCCAAGTCCCTGTGCCCTGACTCCCAGGAACATCATGGCAAAGACTGGTTCAGACCAAGCTTAACTACAACTCTATATATTTAATAGGCCATTCTGGACACTATAAAGAAAACGGGGCCAGGTGCAGTGGCTCATGCCTATTATCCCAGCACTTTGGGAGGCCAAGATGGGCAGATCACCTGAGGTTAGGAGTTCAAGAACAGCCTAGCCAACATGGTGAAACCCCATCTCTACTAAAAATACAAAAATCGGTCAGGTGTGGTGGTGCATGCCTGTAGTCCCAGCCACTCAGGACGCAGAGGCAAGAGAATCACTTGAACCGGGGAGGCAGAGGTGGCAGTGAGCTGAGATTGTGCCACTGCACTCCAGCCTGGGCCACAGAGTGAGACTCCATCTCAAAAAAGAAAAAAAAGAAAGAAAACTTGGACCTGCAATCTGGTTCTGGGTCTGTGGTCCCCTACCAAATTGCTGAGGGAATTCAGTAATGCCTGTGCCCTTAAGCTGGGCTTTAGGTGCCTCTGGGATAGGCCAGGAAGAAACATAGGATTCTGATGCTGCCAAGTTATTAACGGAAGGAGGGAAAGGAGGAGGAAGGGAGGAAGGCCATGGGTGAGACAGGAGGCTGCGGTACTAGTGGGGATGCAGGGGAGGGGCCAGTGTACAGGAAAGCCCTCTCCGAGAGGGGTCTAGAGGCTCCTCTGAGCCTCTGGGCTTCAAGGAGGAAGAGCCATTTCCTGGCTTGAACAATGGATGCTAGGGAAGAGGTCCAAGAAGAGGAAGGGGTGGGACCAGCAGCTGTGCTGGATGTCGAGGAATCCTATGTTCAAGTTGATAGGGGTTTCAGAGGCAGGCCCAGGGGCTGGGGAAATTCCACATAGGAGTTCCTTCTCCCCTCACCAATAACAGCCAACAATCCAAGAGACACCCTTGCTTACCTTCTCCTCCCACTTCAAACACATTTGCTTTGGGTTCACCGCATCAGACTCCCATCTGGGGAGTTTCTTAAAGTACATATACTTAGGCCTCCAGTGGGTCTGAAGTAGGGCACAGGCATCTGTACTTTTAACAAGCTCCTTAAGTGATTTGGATGCAGGGCCCAGCTAGGACCACTGGACTACAGCCCTCAGCCCTAGCTGAGGTAACTTTAGCTGGCCAATCAGGAGGTTTCCTGGCACTAAGATCAATAAGACTAAAGTTCTGGTTTTAAAAACAGTGGGCGTTCAGGAGAGAGGATGCTTAGCCAAGCACTGGGATGTTAAAAATCACTGCAGATCACAGGAAATGGTACTTACCTACCTGGCTTCCTGCCTTCTACCTCATAAACACATATACACACACACACACGAAGCCAAAAGACTGACCTCTTTGAAATTGTCAAAGGCAGAAAGGATGATTTCGTGACCTCCTCGCACCAAACACACAGCTGCCAGAAGCTCTAAGACAAGGGCTTTGGTCCTAAGGGGTGAAGAAGGAAGATTAACACCCTAGCTCCCCATCCTGACCACCACACAGCTCACTTCCCTGACTGGGTAAGTCCTTTTGGAGAGTGGAGAAAGCCTCAGTGATGAGGAGAGGGTGGGAAAAAAAGGACTTGCTCCCCTACTAAGCTGTGTAGACCAGAGGGGAGCCGGGGATACTTCACTTCCAGCAGAGGTGAGGGGGCCAAACCAAGGCTCTGACAGGATTAAAAGGCCAGGCAGGACTTGTCAGGAATACATGGAGCACAGATCTCCAGATCCCTGGACAGAGTGGGGAGGAAAGGGGAGGGAAGGAACTCACCTTGGATTCTTGTTATTGAGGCTAAGTGCAATCTCATTGACAGCATGGGGGTGGGACATGACCAGGTTGAATCCATACTGCAAGGGAAAGGACAGAAGTGGGGGGTACCTTGATGGTGTGGAAGGGAGAGCAAAGCCCATCTCCTTGACTGCAGGCCCACCAGCAAATCTGTCTTTTATAAGCTGGTGCCCTCCTGGTTTTGCAGATGAGGCAGAAGAAGTAGAGCACCCATGGCTAGTGCTTCCCCCATACCTGATAGTTCATGATGGCTCTGAGACAAAGGATACAGACGTGGACATCATCCTTCTGGCTCACTAGGCGGGAGTTCTTCAGGGCCCTGCGCCCAGGGAGAGTGCTATACCTGGGGAGATTGGCCAGGCAGTCAGGTGGGAGCCGAGGCTGCCAGTGAAGCATCTAGGGGCACTCACCATCTCCCAGACAGCAGGCTGCCCCTTAGCAGTGGCAAAAAATGGGAATGAGCAGCGAAGAGGGACAGGGTGCAGGAGGCAGGGAGGTCAGACTGTTTTTACCTCCCTAGAGTAGGCCTTTGTCAGCAACTACTCAGGATCCCAGCTTTATAACCAGTGCCCAAACCCTAGAGATCCTTCAAAATACAAACAGTAGTTGTATAGGTCTTCCTAGTCCCTGAGATGGGTCCAGAGACACATTCATCTGAGAATTCCCTCCACCCACTTCCAGTTGCTGTACCTTCTGCACAAACCATGGGACAAGAGCATCTTGGCTCCCATCCCAGAAAAGGCAGAGCTGATCCCCAAAGGCTTTAGAGGGGCCATGGGGCTATACCTGGTTTTGCACCTCTCCATCCTCTCAGTGATGTTTCATGGAAAAGGGAGGAAACATGTATCTGCCCATGCATGACAATAATAATAAACAGTGTTCAAGGGATACAAGCCAAAGGAGACTAGGAGAAAAGCATGGCCACAAGAGAGATAGATAACCAAGGAAAGGGCTACTGGACCCAAAGGAAAGCCTCCCAGAGTAACAAGGAGCACTGAGAAGTCATCTAGTCCATCCGCCTACCTCTGGGCGGGATGGCTCCTAAGACACTGCAGACAAATGAGCACGTTGCAGCCTTAGAGAGAAAAGGCTCGAAGGAAGAGGTGAAGGGAGTGCGAGGGGTAGGCAGGTTGAGTGGAAGCTGGTCTCCAAGCTGATGATGGGGCAGAATGAAGAGCTAGAGGGAAAAAGAATGAGGACAGGAGCTGGATCACCCAGTGAAGGCCAAGGCTCTGTATGAGATGTGCACTGCTCGAGAGGCCCAGGAGGAATGACAGAGTGAGAGTGAGGAGTGAAGGGCCCCCCAGAGAGGGGTGGGGAGGGGTGGGGAGGGATGGGGAGAGCTGGAACCCCAGGTGGGGTGGGTGCAGCTAAGACCATGTACTTACCCAGGACAGACTGCTGGGCAGAGTCAAGGAGACAGAGAGGACAGACCAGAGACAGACTGGCAGGCAGAGGGCAAGAGAGCTGAGCCTGGAAGCAAGAGTGGAGGGAGGAGCATGAGCACTCACCACTGAACCTGAGACCTGCATTGAGGGGTAGGGTGGGAGGCAGGCGGGCAGAGCAAGAGCACACATACCGGAGCACAGACTGGCGCGCAGAGCGAGCGAGGCTGTTGGTGAAGGGGGCCGACAGGGCGCTGGGTGGCTGCAGGTCCTCGATTGACCTGCTCCAGGACCGGAGTTTGTCAAATGCACCATCGTCACCACTCTCCAGACCCTCAAAGTCAAACCTGGAGCATGAAAGGACACACATGCGCACACACAGGCACATACACAGAAGAAATTCAGTGCCAAGCCCCCCGTGAGCCCACCCCCACCATTCAGGCCTCTAGGGCAACAAGAAGCAGGGGTAGCAAGGAGAGAAAGCAGAATTGGGCAGCAGAGACCTGACCCTAGCTGGAAGAGCCACTAACACAGGACAGCGGTGGAAGAGGCACAGGCAGCAACCAGGAGGGGAATCTAAGGAGATGGGAAGCTGATGGAGGCCAACTCCTCTGCTCCCCACTGGCCAGGTAACTCCAGGAGGAGTGTCCTCCCCATGGGCCACTGGGGAGCTGGCAGTCTTTCTGCACTTCCAGCTTAGATGGGGCATCTCCAGGAAGCTGTGGCTCCCCACAGAGAATCTACCCCGTAGAAGGAATGGTGGGGAATGGGCCAACTGCAGGTCTTGCTAGTTGGCCAATTGCAGCAACCAAAGGGCCTTTCAGTGCCTTGAAGGAGTCCAGTTGATGCTGTATGACAGGACTGAATGGAAGGGAAAGGGGGTTCTGGCAAACCCAGAGTGGGACAGTCTTTTATGTTTTGGAGGAGCACCACCACCCATCTTAGCACTGTTTTTTTTTTTTTTTTTTTTT